TGTTTAGTCTGGTATAAACCCAGCTTAAAGTTTGAAATGTTCTATTTTTGAGAAGTTCTTATCTAAATGACGCTGTTGAAATTGTCTATTGTTGATATACCATATTATTCTTTTTTCTTTGTCTTTTCAAGTGTTATAATCTCGCTTAGTATAGAAGAGTACCTTTTTGAAGTAAAAATAAACATTACCAACGACCATGGGGAACCGCCATGTGTATAATATTTTGGAGTATATAAAGAGAAAGAGGAACCATGTTAAACAATCATGGCTCATCTTCAGTTCGGTGGTATTGAATTAGAAAGTGTTGGTTTATCAACAACTGTACCCGACAATGATTTGGCTCGCGTTATGTATTACTTAAGTTGTGTATGTTCCGCAATCGATTACAATGACAATGATATTCAACGATATCGTAACTATAATGAATATTATCGTCTAACAGAGGAGGAAAAATTACTGGTTGTTGTTCTTTGTGGAACATTGAGTCCCGATGTATTTATTGATAAATGTTGGTTTGAAAGTGATGCTTTATGTGGCACAAGTAGTAATAAATTCTATAATTTGAAACACTTTCGTGCTGATATTATAGCTGTTGAATCGATTGTGATCGCTGGTAGTCGAGTACAAGTGAAACAGATAATGACATTTAAGCAAGGGTGGATGATACGAAATTATATTGAACCGATGAAACGATTGATTCAGCAATATGGAAACCAACGACGATTACAACAACAACAGCAGCAACAGACAATAACATATGCTCAACGGCCAACACCTAGAGCAACTTATACATCGACGACAAGACCGGCGCCGGCCGTAGATGATGGATGTTGCTGTACGATATTGTAAACATTTGTTTTAATTATGCTTACGTATTTACAAAAATAAGGAACTCGATTTATACGATTTTCTAGATAATGAGGAAGAGAAAGTTGAGTGAGAATGCTGATAATGAGAGGTTTGTAAATTGAAAACGACTGATGATAAGCTCTTTTACGATGTATTATTTCAGCTTATTGGATGAAAATATAGATCTTTTTATGATGAAAACCAAATTCGATATCCATTACCTGTTGAACAACTGTTCTTTTATTTAAAACATAAAGAAAATAAATGTACATTGTTAAGACCATGTCTTTGCGTTAATGGAACCAACTACATTTTTGAATCTAAGAGATCAGTTGAAAAGTTGGCTCTTGATACTCGTCAAAACGACGCCCTCAACCATCTTCCAACACTAAAATATCTCACTATTATGCGTGAACTCGATCGTTTTCTGTTTGAGAAAGGTCCTACTAACAGCTTCAACGCTATTTTGAATCTGACTCATTTAAAACTAAAACTTCATCCATCTCGTACTAACATTATCGAATTCAAAGAGATTCGTAGTACTGCTCAGTATTTCTCCTTTGAAATTAATAATGTCGATATAGGAGTCATTTATCCGATCAACATTGGTCGCACAAGCTGTCACCGCCACCGTTAACCTACAAGATGGAGCTGTTTGTTCAAGAAGCGTACGACTATCATAAAGATATTTGCGCATTTGACCACACATTTGAACAACCGTTTTGGCTTGAACGAAATTTATCGCGTCTGTTTCGTTAGAATGAAAAATTCATTTGCTACTACACTGTAATTTGGAATCATTTTCTATTTTATAGCAAACCAATCTAGAAAATCGCCAGGAATTGTCCAACTTTTATAAAATCCTCAGCGATTTTCTGACTGTTTAGAAAATGTTGATTTTCCATAGAAACTCCGCTCGATTTTTTATGAATTGACTTTTCTTATTTATCCGAAAATCGATAAGGAATTTCTAAAAAAAATGAGAATTTGTCAGCGGTTTTCTAATTTTTAGAAATCGATCAATTTTTCATAAATAATTTCCTAGAAAACACAAAATAATTTAAACAAAACACAAAAACATACCAAAAAAATTACTACTGATAACATCGAGTCGACTACACAACTTCAATCGTTGTACAGAATATAGATACAGAATAGTGAATTTAGTTTTGTAGTAGTTTACTACAAAGCTAAGTTCACATGTTC